TTCTTTTAGCAAAAAAAAAAATCTAATAGAGAAGAGTTTTAACCATATGGAGTCTTAACCCTTACAAATTAAACAAAAATACGGTTCGTATATTTCAAATATAGTAAAATTTGGGTCGTATATATATCGTTTTGTTTTTCAAAAATAGGATTAGTTTTAGCGTTTGTTAAGTGTGTAATATCCGATTAGTTTTGGCGTGTGCTTTTATTACCATTTCCCGCTTCTACCTCTCATACAACTATATATCAGCATTTGTATCTTGTTATAGCCTACCATTATTTTGATTTATATGATCTTGTATTCAAACTTCATCGATTGACGACTCTTAACTCGTGACGAACTCTGTAAGCTCAATTCGGCTATAAAAAAAATTAGTTCGGATGTAACATTGAACCAAAAATAAAGTATTGGTTTCATTAAGGGTTTTAATAAAAAAATTACTAAATTAATCATGGTTTGATTACTACTTAAAAAAATGTGACAACCTAAACTCGTTAAATGTTAATATCTTATATATATTATTTTTTTTTAATTTTTTGACATATATTAAAAATATTTATTTTAGKAAAAAAAAAAAAAAACCTAAGAGAAGAGAGATTTAACCATAGGGGAGCTTTAATCTCAGGGGAGCGTAATCCTCACAAACTAAACAAAATTATGATTCTTTTTGGTGCAAGAATTGAGTTTAACTACATATGCAAGAATTAAGTCTATTTCTCTTGATGAAAGAAAAAAATAATTATGGTGTTATAAGCAAGCAATCCCCTTATAATCATCTAACGGAAACTTACTAACCTTGTTCCGGATATGACACACGCCAAAACCGAAGCACAAATACAGTTTCGTAATTACCGAATTGCTCCCATTGCCTCTCCAAATCCTCGGCAGTATTATCATAGGCGACACACTTAATATCAGACAAACTACATTTACCAAAAGATAGGCTCATTCAATAAAAATATATCAAATAAATCATGAAAACTAAAAGATACCTCAAATCGCAAATAGTGAACTCTTTCATGATAAGAGCGCTACCAAATATATGCCTCTTTATATGTGAGACTTTCAATCATCTTTTAATAGTTTTTGCTTAATCGACACAAGTTATTGTAAAACTCATGTTATATATTTATTTTTGCTTAAAAGTATGGCTCGTAAAAATTAAATTATAATTAAAAGCGTGGCTCGTAAAGCATCAGAAATAACTCATTAGTATAGTGAAAATCATTCAGTTATAAGCATGCAAAAAAAGATTAAACAAAAGTCAATCTAGAGTAAAAACCATGAATTGATATGCTACATATTAATATTGAATATAATTTATTAAGTTTGATATAAAAATTATTCGATAAGATAAATATGGAAGAATATAATCGAATATGGGATATGAGCATATGTTAGAAACCAAAATAAACAATTAATATGTTAAATACTAAACACATAATCGACCCCAAAATAAACAATTCATTCTCTTATTTTTTTCCTTTTTTCTTCTCCTAAAATTAGTTTTAAGTTGACACATAAGCATATTGACTTCTCTTTTATAGATATACAA